GACGTGCTTCAGCAGAGTCTCGGACTGACCGCTGGTCAGCAGACAAACGTAGACATCGATGAGGCCCTGGAACAGCGGATTGGAGGGCTTTCCGGTCTCCAACTCCTTCTACAAACAGAGAACAAAATCCAACATAGAAGGCAACAAAGGAACAGTTGATCAAGTTTTTAATTTATCTTAGCTAATAGAAGTCTGAGTTTCTATACGAGCAGTAAAGTTGGGCGGGTAATATCGACCCAAGTGTGATTAAAGTCATGGCGCGAAGTGGGGCGTTTGTAGCTCGAGTTGGTAGAGCGTTGGCTTCTGGTAAGGGCCTCTCTACTATGCGGGTTCAAATCCCGCCGAACGTCTCGAGTTTTTTTCACAATTGGATCAACTCAAATTAAGCAAATCTGCCAAACCTCCCAATAATTAGCCATATTACTTTGTGGCTTTTGAAACTCGATGAACGTTCAGCAACCGCTGTCGGAACTCACTTGTCCCGCTCCGCCCTGGCCTTAGGCTTCATTTCTTGGGCCTTGACAACAGCTATAGCAGTCAGTAGTATAGGCAGACAGTATTTCCGACAAAGACAAGGGAGACTGGAATGACCATTTCTGGCTTATTAACCGTCGTCAGCCAATCCTACCCAACCCCAAGTGGTACCCCACCCAAGCCTCGAACTCGCGACCTTTTGACCAGAGGCTAACGCCCTAAATTTTGCTGTAGAGGTTCATTTTTCTCGCCAATAAGTTGACATATTTGGTGATTCTAAAACTGTGACCCAATCATAAGAAATAACGTCCAAAAATTCACTTTTAAGGTATATCTCATTTTGAAGGTTTTGGTAAACAGGCAGAACAGGAACATTGAGAATCGAAAATAGGCAAAAACAGCAGAATTTATTGATATCAACAAATTTCGTGACAGCTCATCAGCTGCTACTTGTCGCTGCATAAGAAGGATAACGAGGACACACACAGCAGTGGTGAATTTTACAGAATTACTGGCAACAGCAAGGAACTTGGGTCAGTTGAAAAATTAATCGATAAAGGACGGGAACGTTAAGTCAACATATGGGAAGTAGT